CCTTATTTACTCTGGATATGTGCTGTTATTTTTGCTACTTAACTTTGTTCTGGGCTTTCTTCTCTGAAAAAGTACTACCCAGAACAAATGTTTCGCTCTAAAAGGAAGACGCATTTCAAGATATCCGGCAAGATATCATGCTGACATGTAGTACCTAAATGATAGTGTCTTGGTAAACAGTACAGGAAGTGAGCTCTGTTATATGACGGCTTCGGCGTCTTGCATAGCTGTTGCAACCGCGTGTTGAATAATAGATTAGATTTACACTTTAGAGACATGGGTTTCATATCCTAGTGGTCGTTATGTTTTTTTATTGATGACAAATTCTTTTACGTGGGAATTCACCTGACCATGCTTCGAGGTGACCGACTAAGAGATGAATAATAATCGAAGACCTGCGAGCAGTATGGCGAGCCTGGTGTTCCTGTGTCGTCATGCCAGAGCTTTCGAAGTGTGAGGCCACGCTGCATTATTCATACGTGTTATGGCAACAGTTTGCCTCAATTAACCATTCATTTTATAGCTAAGTCAGCCCAGTTTATACCTTGAAAGGTAAAATATCGACTTTTTCGATAAAGAACTGACTTCTGGTGTGAAACAGAAATTTCTAATTTCAGTCATTTTCGCGTATTTCATTAGCAATAAGCTTTGAATATGTTTTCGATATAGTAGTATATGCAAAATTATAATAATGTAGCTAATGCGAATGTTATAGGAAATAGCAGAGTTAATTAAAGTTAGTTTTCAGTACCGTCATTTAAATGACACCTTGCGTTAGAAATTTTGTGTTGATGTCAGAAAGAGTGTGCCTGGGATAATCTATGAGACCCTTGCGGTTGTCCGGTACTTTCTCTTGCTTTCTTTGTTTTAATGATGCATATTCACCACTTCAATCATTTTTCTGACTTATATCTAATGACTATCAGCCACCAGATATAACAAAAAGTTTGGCCAGAGGAGCAGAAAGTTCATGCCTTCCTGAACAGCAGTGGGATCATTCGTTTTCTTCCTTTCTTCCCTGCCAGCCTTTAATTTATTTTTAACAAACCGAAGAATATTTATCGAACAAAACCTTGTAGTTATTTGTTTTAAGCTGTGTACACTAATTTGACATTTTTCTGCTTGATGTTGTCTATGTGAAAAATTTATTTTATTTTTTGTTTCCTTTATTTTTTGTTGTTGTTCTCGTTCACTTAATTTAATTATTTTAGTTCATATGTCATTCTCAAAATTTGTTATGCAACAACTTTTTTTCCTCATATTACTGGAGACACCTGGATGGCGTGTTCATTAGCGCAGCGACGACTTAGGAGTTGGCTAATTTTTCTTTTTCGTTTCTTTTTTGTTTTGTTAGTTGTGCTGTTATATGAAGCGCTGATTTTTGTTTGCTTCAGTAACTTGCACGTTTTTGGTTGAATTTCAGTTTGTGATTTTCTTTTTTTTTATGGCTCTTGTTTGATATTTCAAAAATATTAAACGCCATTACACTTAATTGTTACTTGCTTCTTTAAAACGGATCAAAGTTTCTAAAAAATGCTATTTACTGTTATGCTTAATAGTGGAAAACAGCATAAACACGGATTATTTATACAAAGAAAATTGATTTATTGTATCAGTGTCTCACGGAGCTTTTATGGAGAGTTGGGTGAGCTTTGGAGGTATTTCTATCTGTAGCAGTCCGTCAGTCCGTTATGAGCTAGAAGGGTCAGTGTATAAATAGACCATCGTTTGCAACGAACCGATTTCTCTATTTTACGATAGTTCATTTTTCTAATTGTAGTTTGTAAAGTTAAGCAACTATTTTAACAATGACCTTAGGTTTACTAAATTTAAGATACGGAATAAGCAACAAGTAATATATAATTCTTTCCCCCCCCCCCCCCCGTAAAGATAATTTTACTTTCTTATTAAGCACACTGTTCATGCAGTGGAACGAAGAATCAAGAGCGCATGTGATTCGAAGAAAAAACAAGAGCTGCGTACCTTCTGCTAATATGGCTGGAAGCGCATGCCATTTCGTCACAAAAGGCCGAAGATGTCTGATTACGTGTATGAACGAGCATTAGTCGTATCTACTGGACCATGGCCAAAAGCGTGTGTTTGTTTTGATCACCGTTTTGACCCGCTTGTATAGGCAGAACTTCTCTCGTTTGAGCCGCTGGCCGCAGTTGCTGCTTTTCAACACTTTTACTGTAAGGCATCGGTTATCTCAACGCGGAAGAAAATATTCCTCTCCGAAAGCCAATTTGCCTCTACCTTGTTCCTTCATGTAAGCTGACCTTCTTGCTGATGTATGTCGTTTCCGCAGGAGCAGCTCACTGGCTATATTAGATGGTGTATGCTTAACCAGTTTGTTTCACAAGGCCATTCTTCTTTTCTTAATTTTCACATCTACCTAGGTGATTTGTGCCCGGAAGAGAATGGCGTAATTTTTTGTGTGGTCCTGCCATTTAACCCTCATTGTGTATCGAAGCCAAAGCTGCTGCGTGAAATTCAACCGCCATTCTTGCTCTTTCCGTATAGCAACTGTCCCCTGCCGAGCACCACTGACCTGACACATTTTTGTGGGAAGAGTAACTCGTTTCTCAGCGCAAATATTGGACAGGTTTACAAAACACTCAAGGTTGGTGAGATCCCCATATTTAGCCGTGGCTCGATAGTGCCGTCGCAGGAGTTGACGCAGCCAAGATCATTATACTGTTGGTCAACTCTTAAACAGCTTTACCGCTCTGTTCCGCCTGTAGATTTGCTGTGCCGGATGGGTTCCTCATAGCTTTTGATTTCCAGGCGTTAATAAAGTGCTAGCTTTTGCAGCTGTGTTGCATACGGGAAGCCATCAATCACTGACAGAGCCCGCTTCCAGTGCTGCTCACCAGCCACTGGTAATAATTTAAGGTGACAGACCATCTGTTTGGCAGATGAAAGTAAGTGTTCTTATTCCAAGCTGCGGACATTGAACCTTAACAGATCCCTATTCGTAGCTCTGAGCGTTGTCTAATGCTGCCATAGTTTCGGTTCAGCACGCAAATTTGGGTAAATTTAATTAGACTTAGAAACAACGGAAAGTGAGAAGGATGAAGACAAAGCATCGATCCGCATTCAAAAGTATTTTTTCTGGCTGAACTACCATATTTATTCAAGATTGCTAAGGATTATGTCAGTGCTTCTTGTTCCTTTTGCTTTTTTTTTCTCTAAAACAGAACCAACCACGATCAGGTTCACGAAATTTCCATCTATTCATTATTATCTTTTTATCACTGTTCGTTTATTTGTGGTGTGTATTGGTTGCAAATTGATAGACCCCATTTTGTTCGCTGTCATCTGGTAAGCACTTTAATCAGCAGGATATCGGGCTGATATGTTCTTCATCTGGATCTGTTTTTTTAAATTCAGCTATAATAGCAAAAGAACTGAAGAAAGTTGGTGGAAAAGACCGAGTAAAGGCAAGCGTGTGTACAGCATGAGATGTATGAGCTTATCGACTTGATTTAAGTAAGATGAAGTGCCTAAAGTTTTTCAAGCATTCAAACTGGCATTGCTACTGCCATAGAAGTCACCTTTTATTGCTAAAGCACAATGGTTATTAATGAAAATTTTGATTTACCATGAAGATTTTTGTTGTACATACATTACGTGTTATTAACTTCTCAGGTTCACACGTTTAGTGGCACCTTGTTTCTAGTAACTCATGGATATTTTAGACCGGGTCAAAGCTCCACGGTACGTGCAAGCGGTGCAAGGAACAACAGTATATTCAGACGTCAACTGAAACACGGCTATCCACAGGTATGTATGGATAAAAAAATAATTTTGGATTTACTGACAAAACGCCGTTTTTAATGCCACCAATAAGAATAATATAAACGCAACGATTTTCCAGATTTGCCATGCGCT